GGGGCTGCAGCCAGGCAGTACCGGGCTTCCTGCCAAGGGCCACCCTGGTGGGAGATGGGCAACCGGCCATGACACCGGACTGAGCAGGGTCTTGCTCCCCTGAGCGAGGTGGGGGTCCCGAGAGAGCACAGTGGGGTGGTGGGGTTGTGACAGAGGAGCCTGGGCTGTGGTGGGGTCATGGCAGGGGACACACACCAGGCCTTGGGGTCGGTGACAGCAGAGCTCATGGGATGCTGGGGGAGGGCCAGGGGAATGTGGGCACTGAGCCACGGCACGACAGGAGCCAGGTGGTTGTTTACAGCAAAGCTTTATTGGGAGAAGCAGGTGATGGGGCAGGAGAGGGGAGTGCATTCCTGGTGCTGCCACCAGCCTGGGAAGCCCCTCGCTGCCACCCTCACTCCTTCCTTGAGTGCAGGCGGGTGAAGACGTTGGTGCCGACCCTGTGGGGACACAGAGGGAGGAGATGTAAGGGTGGGACATGTCAGTCCCAGCCAGTGCTGAACGCCCACCCAGCCCCATCCCACCCCCCAGCAGTGTTTGCACCCTGGTGGGACCCCCAGGAGGCCACACATGAGTACCCCATCCTCAGTCACCCCCACACTGTCAACTGCTCTGCCAGGAGCTGAGCATGTGGGGTGGGAGAGCCCTGACCCCCAGGGATGCACAGGGGACATGTGTGGGGCAGGAACAAAGGGCTCACATGGTGGCTTTCCAGTCGTCCTTGAGGTTGTCCACACGTGACCGCAGGAGCCACATGGTCTTCAAAATCTCCTTTCCCTCCTCATCCACAAAGCACTGGCCCGTGAAGACGGTGATGGAGTCTGCAGGGATGGGGTGGGAGGTGGAGGTGATTATGGCCAGGGCAGCAAGTTGGTGCCGAGCCGTGGCCCTACAGCCTGCTGCAGCGCAGGGGATGGTAGATCTGGGCTGTCCCTGCTCTCTGGGGACAGCGGTGAGGGAAAAAGCAGGCAGGAGGAGTCAGAGGGCTGAGGGTCTCAGGTGAAGATGGGCAGACAGCAATGGGGCTTCAGCCCCCAGCATATCCTCTGCGCCCTGGGACTGGGAGGTGACACCAGCCAAGGAGCCCTGGGGTCAAGGATGGGGGAGCATGAGGGACACCACAGGGGACAGGAGACACTGCAGGGGATGGGGGAGCATCAGGGACACCACAGGGGACGGGAGACACTGCTGGGGACGGGAGACGGGAGAGCATTGGGGACACCGCAGGGGAAGGCAGGGCATCATCAAGGACACTGCAGAGGAGGACAGAGGAGCATCAAGGACTTCACAGAGAGGGTAGGGGAGGTCTGAGGACAGCGCAGGGAGGGCAGGGAAGCTCTGGGGACAACGCAGGGAGGCTGGGAAAGGCAAAATACCTGAAAATTTCCAGTTGACAGTGAAGCCAAAGGTGGGCTGGCTGTTACTGTTTGTGCTGTGCTGGGAGCCCTGCAGCGGTGACAGCTGGATCTCATTCTTGGTGGCTGTCACAGCCGTGTGGTAGGAGCCCATGAATTCACCTTTTCCATTCAAAGCCTCGATGGTCATGTTGGAGCCCAGGTCGTTGGCCCAATGCCCAGTCAGGATGCACTGGAGTGGAGAAGACTCAGAGTTGTTTTGGCAGCACAGCGTGGGTGTGGGCAGGGCGTCAGGAGCTGGTAACCCCCAGAGCTGCAGCCCCCCTGCCCACCCTGCCCCGTGCCTCCCAACCCTGCCGTTACCTTTCCTGCAGAGAAGCTGGGAGCCACCAAGGCCATGCTGAGCACCAGGAGGAAGGGAGTCCCTTGCACCATCTCTGCAGCCGCGGGCAGACGGTTGGCGTACCCAGGGATGTGCTCCTCACAGGACTCTCTGATGGTGTGCCTGCTCTCTCGCCTTTTATTGCTTTCAGGGCTGCGGGTGGCAGCTCTGGACAGGGTGTTGTGCAATCTGGGTGTTTCCAAATTTGCAGTTCCCAACCATAGGAGAGGGAAGTTTGCAGGCAGATATTCCCAGAAGTGCCTACACAAACCATCCCTACTTGCTCACACTTCCCTGGCACCTCGCAGGGAGGTGGCTGCCAGGATGGATGCTCAAAGCCAGGGAAAAGCCCTCTCAGGTGCTGTTGTCCCTTCTGCCACCTGGTTGCCACCCCACTGCCCTGCCTGGGGTGCGTAGGGGTGCCAAGCCGCCTTAACCCCAGTGCACCCCAGGATCAGCCGCAGCACACGGCCTCACCCCGCTCCTCCTCACCAGGTGTCCTGGTGCAAACCCACCCAGCACCGGGCTCCTTCTGGGGCTTTGCTTTGTCCCCACCCTGGTACAGAAGCAGAGGCAGATCAAGCTACAAACCAGCCGGTCACCTCTTGCCCGGGGCTGGCATGAAGATTTGCTACTGTTTTTACAAGCTGGCTTTTGTTGGAAGGAAATTAGTTTGTTTATGAAAAATAAACATTCCCTGAATATCTTGGATGTCACATTTTGCTGCCGACAAAAATTGTATTTACACAGGTATTCTTAAATAACTTTAAGCACCTATTTTTATAGCTCCTCTTATGTTATAGTTGTTGCTGGCTGGGGAGGCTGAAGTGGCTTGGTTCACACCAGATTTTCTCACCCATTCCTCAGTGTTTTTCAAGGCAGTTTCCTAAAATAGATGTGTTTTAATTCTCCCGGTCATCACAGTGAGAGCTGACGGAGCCTTGCTCACCAGAAAATGCTCCTTTTCTTAAAAGGGAGACAAGGCAACTCTTTGCAACATCTCAGAAATATTTCCTAAATTTTGCTTTCCCTTTAATCTCACATTGGAGCCCTAGTCATTCCGACAGTAAAATTCATTGCTACCCAGGCTGGAGAGCATTGCATTTCTGCTGCCAGCATCTCAATGCCCCCCTCTCCTCTCTGCAGGAGCCCCACAGCCCTCTTGCACCCCTGCCCGTAGTTCTCTGGCCAGCTGAGCTGCCTGCCTGCAGGAAATTCCTGCCCAAGTGTTTGCTTCCCTCTGTCTTAGAAATTAACTGCATGACAAGGTGTTTTCCCACACAGCTGCTATTTGCTTTGGCTGGGTTTTCAGCTGGCAGGCACTGTCTGGAGTGTGGTCAATGTTCGTGATAATGAGCACGGTCAGTCTGGGAAGGTTGCAGGGGGCAGGAGGGGAAGGCATCACCCCCTCTCCAACACTGCCTTGCTGTCATTCCCTTGCCTTCATCCCCTCTCCATCACCTTGGTTCAGGGAGCTCCTGCAGGAACCTATGGCCATAGGGATAGGCAACACAAGGTCCCCACGCTGGCACTGCTGCTGATGGCAACTCACAGCACATTACAGCTGTAGGTTTATTTTTGCATCACACAAAGAGTATTGGTGCTATCTGCCCATAACTTTCATTTTTCCTGGATTTAACAATCCCTAGCCAGCAGCGTATCTTGCAGGTGCAGGGATCAGTTCAGTGCTCAAGGAGATGGATTTGTTGACTAGTCTGAGCTGGGTCAAAAATAAAACAAACCAAGAGCTGGGGTATCTCCGTGGGGTATCTCAGCACCTTCCAAAGGGCAGCCAGTGAAGCATCTTGGTTCTGGCAATTATTACCATGGCTAAATCCTGAACCCTGGCATATCAGGGAGCAGGCAAGGGGCAATGTGCAAGCAGGGAAGAAGTCCAAAGCAGAAAGCACTGAAGAATTTAAAAGTCGGCAGGGCTGTGGTTTAGAATTGTGTACGTCAAGGGTCAAGAAAAGGTTAATTAATAATGAGAAGGGCACAAGTAATTTTCTCTTCCCTCCTTCC